GGGAGGGAGGAGGGCAGGATGGCTAGGGATGAACTCAGTGCAAAGGCCTTGGGTTCAAACCTCAGTACCACACATATAAATAAATAAATAAAGGTATAAATTCCCAAGGATGAGCACAGGGAGAAACAACCAGCTAAAATATTTTGGAAGCTATGAGAAGAGAAGAAAATAATTTATGAGACCTGAGAAAAATAAATCCTTAAGCTAGTAATAAAGAAAGCCAGGTACCAACTTGACTGATACTCTAGAATCCACTCCACACCCCTCCCAACCCCATGCCCTCAAGTAAAGAAATCTCCAGAAACTGGTGGCACGATAGCTCTGGAGGCCAGGGTCAAGCAAGGTCACTAAAATAAGATTTTTTTAAAAAGCTTTGTTATTTTAAGACAGGGTCTCACTATAAAGTTCAGGCCATGTTTGAACTCATTTTTATGCCAGTTGCTCTCCGTAGCTGCAGATGACTGCTGCACTCTTACTCTGGCAAAAGCCTAGGCATGTTTTCTGGAGATGTTGAAACACAGTATCTGGAACAGTTCCACATACTAAGTATGGTGGCACTAAGAATGTCACAGGAAAAACAGGAGACTTTTTGCTCTCTTCCCCAACACAGATCCGGTAATACAAACAGTAAGGCTTTCACCCCTAGGTAGGATCTGGTTTGTGCTTGCGGAACCTGACCAACCCAGGTTGGTCTGATGTTAAAGGACTGACGTTAGAGTAAATAGCCTAGTAAGAACAATTAGTGACGCTGGCTATCCATAAGCTCCTCCACAATCAGAGCCTTTCACTCTTAAACAAGACAAGACAACTGAGGATAACCAGATAAAAAAGGAGAAAATAGACAGAACAAAACAAAGAGAAGAGAAAAATGGCAAAAAAAGTTCAAACTTTTATTAAAATATCATCGTAGAAAAACAAGCTAATGCAATAACAGGGATTGAGTGGGAAAAAGTTGTAAATTAAATATGACAGCAGAAATTGAAAATCAGGAAGATACAATTGAAGAAAGTTCCCAAGAAGTAAACAAAAAGATGAAATATAGTGGGATGGGTAAGTCACTGAGAGGGACAAAACAAAACAATTCTTTTATTTGGTCATTATTTCCTATAATGACCCCTATATACAAAAAATTTTTTCAGACTTACAAAGGCTCAAAAGTACAATCTCATGCCCCCTCCTGCAAGAAGCTAATAGAGTATGTGCTCATAAAATAAGGTAGGAAACCAAGAAAATAAAACTGTAGAATATACTCAATATAAGACCCAACATAGGTAAAAGAATTTTCAGGATAACAGCAATGAAGGGAGAGAAATCTCAGGAGACAGCCATTTCATAGAAGGCAAGCCTGAGGCTTTAGGGGAGATTTCAAGAAAATTCAACTTATACAAACCCCATTCATCTGAACATTTTGAGTGGATATTTAGAACACTGGGAAAGAATTTGAGATTGAATTAGGGCTAAATATAGAGAAAACAAAACAAACAAAACCAAGATAGTTGTAACTCCAGAGAAACCAAAGTTACACAGGAAAGGAATAGTATCAGAGCTTCCTACTGGCTCAGCTGTGAACAGTACATGTATCATCATACAAGTGTAAATTTGGAATCTTGATCTAAAAAGTCACTCCTGAGGAATGAGAGTTAGGAACAGGATTTTGAAAATAGAGACTAGAGAAGGATGGATAGAGCCTAGGTGTAGTGGAAAGGCTGGGGGAAACACTTGAACATGTGGAATCCAATGCAAGGGTCAAACCCCAATCTACCCAACATGGGGTATCCTGAAGGTTCCCATCTTGTGTGTCTACCTCGTCCACCACCTGACAATTCAGACTTTCCTCCTGGCCCCTGGTCCCCTCCCCAGAAGCTCCCACAGGGAATCCAGCTATCTCTCCGTGTAGGCCCAGCCAAGATACCCAGGACACCAACCCTCAGGATCCTATCCACCATACACACTGCTGGCTCTTGCCATGCCTCCTGTGAACCCTTTGGCTCCTGGGATGTTGGGCCCAGGAATGGTGATGTAAAAGATGCAAACGAATATGAAGAAAGCTCAAAGACACACAAACACCACAAGTATGGCAAGCATTCCTTCTCTTCTAACACTGACTCTGAATACAAGGCCTGGACCCTTCCCTTAAGTCTCACCAGTTCTACTCTCCCATCAAGCTTCAGCTGTCATGCCTTGTACTAGGGGAAATTAGCCCTTGTGACCCCAGCTACTCCTTCCTGAGCTTTATCCTGCTATTCATCCCTGAATGGCTACAGCAAATGGGAAGAGAATGCCATGAGATAAGATAACAAAGCCATCCTCTTGCTGCTTGATAGATATTATAGCAGAAGAGCAGCAGGGAGTGGTATTTGAAGATGGTGAAATCTCTGAGTGGACTGTTGAAGGCAAGCTTAAGATCTGTAAAATGTGATTTTTTTTCATTTAATACAGTTGGGAACCAAGACCTGTCATGTAGAGGTACAAGATCCCAATAATGAACGTAACTGTACTGTATACCTAAAATGTACCAATAAATTCAATGAAAAAAAATACTTATGGTTGGGGAGTTTTGAACATAGTGGTGGCACATTCGGGTGATTTGTGGCAAATATATTTCCCAGTAGGTCTTTTATTGATTGTACTAACTGCAAGGCTGTTGGGAAATATGAGTGTTTGGTTAATGAGCTGATTACCCCTTTAGAAACTGATTGTTATCCTTAGATCAATATGCTAGCTCACCCTCCAGCTTTCAGTCTAAATAAAGCTGTTTCTCTTGGGAAAACAAAACAAAAAAAGATTTTGAAAATACACAAAGCAGCGAACCAATGAGCCACAAGTGCCAAGGGCACCTACTAGGCCTCCTTCAAGACTGTTGATGTATGGATTAATCCACTCTGACAGACCCTAGTTCTGACAATGGTTTTGTAAAGTAACAGCATTCAAAATCCTCAGGTCCTCAGAGTCCAAGATGTACTGTGTGAGCTGACAACAGACTGGCTTTTCTCCCACCCTTTTTGGAATCAGAACATGTTTGAATACCTGGCTGGCCTATTTTAATCATTATTACTTAAGCATTATTACTTCTGACTGAAGCGAGAGAATAACAGTTGAAAATAGTAACTGAAAATATTCTTTCAAGTGACACAAAAGACATTAAAGTCAATAAGCAACAGCAGTTCTGATACCTAATTTGGTTACAGAGTGGCCACCTTTACATTGGAAGATTAATTCTAATTAGTCAATAAATTTTGATTAGAGGCATTTTTTTGTTTTGTTTTGTTTCAGGGCCTTGTCCCTTTCTCAGTGATTTTGGTGAACATAGGCATAGAGCACCCTCTGCTGGTCAGAAGAAAAAAGGTACTTCTACGGCATCCACATTTCCTCCAGAACTGCGTATGCATTCGAGCGAGTCTGCGACCCTAAAATATTTATTTTCTGAACAAAACGTATGAGAATACTAATTTGAAAATTAACATTAGGATTTGAGGAAAGCAATAGGTTTAATAATTCAAAATTTACTCTAGTAGAGTAATTCAAAATTTCACTTTTTTACAACTCACCGAAGGTTTCCGCTCCTTCCACCTCCCCGGCCCTGGGCCCCTTCTCACTCGTGCCCAACGGCTCTCCAAGCACTTTGTCCCTACTGGCCTGTTCGCTCCCCGAAGGGGGGACCCAGCAACAGCGTTCTTTAAATATTTGCTGACTAGATTTGACTTACCAAAATTTCCCTATTTTGCTTTTTAATTTTTTACGACCATGGGGCTTGGGAAGAACTTACACAAGGCTGAGCCCAAGGCACAGTGATCCGGGCGGGGCGCAGAGCTCAGCGCCCCAGGTTTAGATGCTCCACCCGCCCTTCCCGCCTCCACGCCTCGTCCAGCACGCGGCCCACAACGCAGCCACGCGCGACTAAGACCCGTACTTCGCGCGCACTCCCGCACGGCAGCGGCCACCTCGCTCAAGAGCTCCTCTACGACTGCCGGTAACGCGACGGCCATAGCGCTAGAGGTTGCCCGCTTTACAGCAGGATCGCGCTCTCGTCCTTTCAGCCAGACAGCAACCACCTGTGGAACCGGACACCCCCCGCAACCCCCGCGACCTTTTTTGCAGAAGGCGGAGCTTGGCGGATGACGTTGGCCTGCATCACCGCGCATGCGGACAAAAACGCTGACGCCATTCGGACGTCACGGCCCTACCAATCCGACCACGGCTTGGCGCAGGGGGCGGGGACGTCCCGGAATCCGGCCGGGCCTGCAGTGCGCAGAGAACTCGGCGGGAGCATGTTCCGCCTCCTGAGCCGGACGCTGGGGCGAGGCCTTCTGCGGGC